ATATATATATATATATATATATATATATATATATATATATACACATAAATATATATATGTGTGTGTGTGTGTGTGTCTACTTGATTACCATTTGATAATTCCTTTAAAGTCCATTTATCAAAAATTTTGCTAACAGGCATTCAACAGGTATATTGCTTTTGTACTAATTATCCATCCATCCATCCATCCATCCATCCATTATCTTTACCCGTTTGTTCCATTTTGGGTCACGGGGTCGCTGGTGCCCATCCAGCAATCACTGTGCGAGGAGCGGGGTACACCCTGGACAGGTCGCAAGTCCATCACAGGGCCACATAGAGACAAACAAGACAAACAACCATTCACTCTCTCACTCACACCTAGGGACAATTTAGAGTTACCAATCAGCCTAACATGCATGTTTTTGGTCTGTGGGAGGAAACCAGAGTACCCGTAGAAAACCCACGCATGCACCAAGAGAACATGCAAACTCCACCCAGAAAGGCCCCTGGACCGGGGTTTGAACCAGGGACCTGCTCGCTGAGAGGCAGCAGCTCTACCAGTTGCGCCACTGTGCTGCCTGTACTAATTATGCTTATCATATATTTAGTTTAGCATATTTTTTTAGTTCATATCTTAGATCTTATTACTGTTTAGCTTTACAATTTATACTTTTGTTGGATGTAACCGGGACCCTGTGTACACAATTTCGTTCCATCACATATACCACATATGATAATGACAATTTAAAAAAAAACTTGACCTTGACCCTGATTCATGACTGACTACAACAGTTATTGCCAACAAATTTAACAAATATTTTGTCACTTTAGGAGGTTGTTGTTAGTTTTGAATTTTTTTCTCTTTTATTAGTGAAACCAATTTCTGTTTTCAGTAATTGATGTTTTTGGCTTTGTTTGTTTGTTTTTTTTTTGTTTTTTTTGTGCACAAATGCACAGATATTTTGGTTTACACATGCATGTAAGGTCAGGAATAATGTGTGCAACCCCTCCATTTGCAGCAAAACATTACGCCTACAATTTTTTATTTTTATTTTAAAAAATTAACAATTATCACACAGGAAAAATAAAAGCCAGACAGACATTTTATTCTGTTTTGGGGCTTTTTTTAGGGGACAAAACATGAACCAGATCAGGTCCAAGAATTCAAAAACCCCTAAAAGCGTGTGCCTTTTTGCCTCTATCATGAATGTTTTAAAATGACTGTGTGTTTTCCTCAAGGAGGTGAACTTGACCCACTTGGAAGAAAATGTTGCTTTCTCTAAAACCTTGAGTGGATCCAGAGGCTGCACAGGAGGAAAGGGTAGAGTGAAGTTTGTACTCTGTGCATGAAGTCACAAATCAGGGTGTAACGTTGGACATGCGTGTGGGGAATATTTAAGTGGTGGATCCCCAGCTCCTCCTGCTCCAAGTCCTTGTACCTCCCCCGTCCTCCCACCTGGAGAGTGACAGATTGTAGGCTGTCCCAGAAAGGAGAAATGGTTTAGAGGGGAGAAGGCTGAGAGGAGGGGGGTGAGTGATTTAGTGAGTGTTATCACAAGAGAAGAGAAATGTTTGACCTCCTGCTGCGAGTAAGATTGTCTTCTATTGATGGCTTCATCTCAAAGAGTCCTCTCAGGTGTTTATCTCCTCTTACTTCTTGTGTTCTTTCAGATATAAATCCATTTCTGATTATTTTTCACTCTGCAGCAATTAATTGAAGTTTATGTTGCAAAAAGCAATCCACAAGTGCTTTTAAAGTCCCCTCATTCACCGTTTCATTTTCTCATGCGAAAAGAGACTCAGTGAGACCTGCTATTATTTCTGTTGGCCTCAGTGCATCTGATGAAGTAGCTTTGACCCTTCTGTTTTCACAACACCAGCAAGTGTGTGGTATTTTTTTTTTTTTTTTTTTTTTTTGCTATGATAGATGGTGCTTTCACCGAGTCTAAGTTTCTTTCTCAATCATGGACTCCAGTCAAGACACAGAGAGAAGTGCAGAAGGAAAATAAGTGAGTGGTTGACCCTTCTGCGAACAGGGGAGTCGATGAATGAGACTCCCAGGTGATGGACTGTGTGTGATGAACTCAGAGGCCTACAAGTGTAATTTGTCTGACACACACACACGCACAAGATTATATGAAAAACTTCTGGTTTTTGTGAATGATCTTTCACTGGAAGCATCAAACAAACAAAAAAACTGATGAAGACATTTTTTTCTTTTTTCCATATGCATAAGCATATATTACCACAGCCTCAACAGATAAAACATAAGTGATCATAAACCAGAACTAAAACAGAAATCTAAATTAGTATTTCACTGGTTTCTGTCTTTTGGATGATTGCAGATTGGTACACAAGTCATCATCTTTTCCCCGTTTTTCTTTCTGTTTGTCTTCAGAGTCGACCGTGTTCTTCCCTGAACAGATCCACTCAGTACAGGAAGACGTCGGGGAGCTTTTCATCCCTGTACACCGCAGTGGAGACATAAGTGAGGAGCTCATGGTGGTCTGCTACACACAGCGGGGTATGAATCTGCCTCTTTTCTTCCTGTTCTGCCACCTCACTGCTACGAATGATTCACTAGGTGGTGAAAGTCATTATATGAGGCTCGATGAATTAGTTTTAAAACAGTATTTTCATTTATGATGAAAAAAAAGTTGGATATAAATAAAGAACTAATTAAAAATACCAACCCATAGATCAGGGGTCTGCAACCTGCGGCTCTGGGGCCACATGCGGCTCTTTAGTCCCTCGTCTGCGGCTCTTTGAAGCTTTGACCAAAACTTCCATGAAATTTAATTATACTGGTTTTTATATCCAAAACAGAAAAGTTTCTGGCAGTTTTTTTTATTATTTTATTAATTTGGTTATTTTTATTTTCTGTGAATATTTGAATGATACTACAAAGCTTTGTTTTATTATTTCAAAGTAGGAAACTTTATGTTTTCCTCACAGAAAAGGACTCATGCAGGCCTGCAGAGTTCAGTGTTTAAATGTTATTTTTAATTATTATTTTTATCAGTGTACAGTAGTGCCTCGCTACTTCGCGGTTTGTTTATCGCAGACTCGCTCTATCGCGGTTTTTCAAAATAAGATTGGACATGACACACAATTGGCTGACTGATGGATAAGCCGTACAATTGGCATGTAATTTTTATTTAAAATAAATTATTTTAAATTATTTAGCACCTCCTGCAACTTTGTGCAGCCCAAACTGCAGGTGTCATAATTGGTGCTGGTGAACCCATTTGTGCAGGCCAGCAGGCGAGGACTCAGGATAAATAGAAAAAAAAAATGTATTAACAAAACAAAAGAGCTGACGGGGCAGCAAAAACAAACAAGGATGAACAGGAGGTACTCACAGAATCAACAGGACCTCACCGGTGAACAGTAGACAATGTGAGGACAAAGACTAACACAGAAACACAGACTTATATACAAGAAACACCAATCAGACAAAGTGAAGGCACCTGTGAGTGATCACAGATGCCGGAGACAGAGACTGAAGATGAAGGACATAAACACGACACAAGATGGGGCTAGACACCAAAGAAACACAAAACCTATAGAGACATAAACAGAGGATCAGGGGAACACAGACTTGAACACAACACCAAGGACAAAACCATAACTTCTACAGCAGGATAAACTTCCTGCTGCAGCTGATCAGCTGTTCACCGTGCAGTGTGGAGAAGTGGGCGTGGCCAAGAGCGCTTGCAAGTGGTTTAGAGCAGCTAGACAGGGAGCTGAAATCTTGACGTTCTGTGCGCTTTTACAGCGTTTAGTTTATAAACACTGTTTAGAATATTGCAAGAATGTGGGAAGGGTTTAAAATGCCTATTTACTACTTGTACTACTATTCCTACTTTGCGGTTTTTCACTAAGTGCGGGACTTCAGGGTACGGATCCCCCGCGATAAACGAGGGACTACTGTAAACTGTAATATTTTTTCCTACTTTACATATGATCTTTTTGTCCTAAAATCTTCATTGTATATTATTAGTTTTATAATGTCACCCCCACTGACCAGAAGTGCCCCCTTGTAACAAACTCGAAATGGCCCATGGGCCATCAGTTGAGTTGTAGCAGGTTTTGCAGCTCTGCACTCATTTCATTTAGTGAGCGAAGAGGCAGAAATGACTCTTTTGATAAAAAGGTTGTAGAACCCCGCCATAGACTTTAGGGATCCCCTAAATTTGGTATCAGTAATAATCTATATCTGTGTTTTCTTAGAAGCAATATTTCAAACATTTTTAAGTAGAGTTCTGTGAAAAGGTTGTGAAAAATATTTTGCTTGTTGTAGATGGCTTTTTAAAATGGATTCATTTTTTGTAATTCTAACCCTAAAGTTTAAAATTTGCAGTTTTAATCACTTTTACATTTCCTAAACTTCTCAAACCTTTTGGTGTTCTCACTTTTTTGTGGTCCCTCCAAAGGTTCTGCCACAGGAACCATTCCCACCACAGTTCTGTCCTACTCAGACTACATTTCCCGCCCGGAGGGACACAGCAGTGTCCTTCACTTTGACAAAGGTGAGAGGGAGAAGATGTGTCGCGTAGTGATCATAGACGACTCTCTGTACGAGAGGGACGAGAGCTTCAATGTGACTCTGTCCCTGCCTGTTGGAGGACGAGTAGGAATGCACTACCCCACAACGAAAGTCAACATCTTGGAAGATCCAGACGATGGTAAGCCAGACAAATAAAAGGTTCTTTTTTTTTCTTTTTTTTGCTTGCAGTGACATTTTTTAAAGTCTATTGGTGTTTTTGAATGAAAAAATTAAAATTAAAGAATTCAAAATGATAAAAAAAATAAATTAAGGGGAGTGGTGGCACAGAGGTTAGAGAAGGTGGGCTTGTGATTGGAAGGTCACTGGTTCAACTCCCTGGACTGACAACATCAAAATGTGGGTGGCAAAGGTGAAGCACCCTCATCTGCCTCCACCCTCATGGGCCCCTGAGCAAGGCCCTCAACCTCCACCACCTGCTCCCAAAAGCAGGTCTCTCTTGAAAACGAGTCCTCGTGATGCAGTGAGACTACCTGTACAAATAAAGTTTAAACAAATAAAACATTAAACTTAAAGTTTAATTAAACACAATTTTTTTATAAAATTCACATAACTATGCGCCACACAAGGTGCCCTTTTTAAAACTTGAGTACCTGCCTCTCAAAATGTCTGTGCACGCCATTGTCAAGATGGAACTAAAATATAAATTGATCTTTAATTTAATTTAATGCAATTCAGTTTATTTATAAAGTGCCAAGTCACAACAGAAGTCGTCTCAGGGCACTGAACAGAAATGTTACCAAACTCATGATGTTCATATTACTAGACAAGACATAATATTACCATAAGACATAAATTAAACCATAAAAAACTTCCAATGATCAAAGGACAACACACAGCAGAAACCCAATTTATTAATCTTCTACCTTACTGTATATTTTTCTACAACCATTGTGGAAGACAATTGACCTTCTCATCTTTACAATATTACTTTCAGTCACTGAAGGTTACAAGCATTTGTTTATGGAGGTTCTTTATAAAATCCTATTACAACATTTCAATCAGGCTGAGGTCTGGACATTAACTGGCTCATTACTACACCTTAATTTGTTGCTTTTCGGCCATTCTGTGTGATTTTCTGCTGTTCTTGGCATCATTGTCTTGTTGTGTGACTCAGTTTGAGCCAAACTTCAGCTTTTAAATAGGTGGACTTCCATTTACCTCAAGAATACTTTGGTATAGAAAATAATGGTTGACTTTATAACTGCAAGACACTCTGGATTCTGCAATAAAAGTCTTTCCACTCCACAATGTGTGTGGCAGTTAGGATCAATTGTTTTTAGCCAATATACTCAAACACTTCAAATGTAGCACTTATACGCAGCAATTGCTCAGACATGAACGTTTTTATGTCTTAAAATCAGTTCCTAAATCATAAACTATAGACTGGATGGTCCACATATAGCCCACTGAATGTAAGTGACTTGTTTTCATTGGTTGTGGCATTCTTGATGTACAAAAACACAACTGTGGTTTCTATTTTGGTTTCTTCCAGCAGAGACTGTCCTCATTACTTGTCATGTCTTGTAGCAAGAAAAAAAAAGTGTCTTCTTTTCTTTGTCACATAATGTAAAATAACTATACAGGAAGGAAAAGATGTTCTTTGGCTGTGACAGGAGAGGAGCTGGATCTAAAGCTTTTGTTTTCCTGCCTGTTTCTAAAATACTCGTGATGCTGTATAAAATGCAACAACAAACACAACTCAGAAATCCCATAATCCCTGGATTTATAGGACAAAGACAACCAGAAGTTGAAACTGAAATAACTTTATTGGTTCAAACAAGATGCCTATGCATTCTTTGACGTATTTTTTAACTTTAATGAGACACATTTTGAGGAGGTGATAGGTTTGACCTTTGAACACTAATCTCCTTTATGCTGTTGTTTAAAAAGGCACAATGTGGTTTGTCATTGTCATGTGAAAATACATTATGTGTGGTGTCTTTTTTATATGTATTTTTATTGAGAAATAGGTGTTTTTACTATTATTTTACTGTGGTGTTCACATGATTTTATTGTTTGTAGTGTATTTAGTTGTGGAAGAAGCTTTGTTTAGTGCACGATGTCCAAGACAAATATCTATCTATCTATCTATCTATCTATCTATCTATCTATCTATCTAT